TATATTGACCAATTAGGTTCTGGCTTTATTATTTTGCTGCAGAAAAAGAAAGTGTTTGATTACTTTCTTTTTGCAAGGAGCTTCATTTTCCTCCTTTCTGGAAAACTTTTATAAATGTGCTCTATTCATACAAAATTTTTCCTATAATAACTCCAAATAGTTATAGAAAGAGCTTTGGGGAAACTGTTTAGTGCAATTTTCTAAATTGTCCTGGTTTATTAGCTAAGAATATTAATTTTTATATGGAGACTTTCAGCAATGAAGGCTTGATCTAACCTCCTGCTTGTGCCTTTGGCCAGTCGACACTATTACAGACACAATTATTTTGAAAATGGTAATGTCAAGACAGTCCTGGAGGTGGAGGAAGGAGAAGATTGGCCAAGGCAAACACTGTTGCAGGGGGAATTAAAGTGATTGAGATGGGTCTTCTACGTGTCTGATCAATTGTTTTTCCAAGTTGGCTTACGGTATGTTTTCCTTAAAGTAATATTAAAGACAATAAAAAAATAAATAAATTAACAAACATGTCATACTTACCTGCACTCTGCAGTGCTTTTTCACAGAGCAGTCCCGGTCCTCCTTTTCTTGGGTCCCCTGCTGGTACTTTTGGACCCTCCCTCCTACTGAGTGCCCCCAGAGCAAGCAGCTTGCTTTTGTGGGCACCCAAGCAGGCTTGCTCCTGAGCTGCTTCTCTGGGTGTCCGTTCACGCACCAAGCCATGGCTTGGCTCTGCCCACTCCCTCTCCTCATTGGCTCACTGGCAGTGATTGACAGTAGCAGAGCCAATGGCTGTCCTGGCCAATGAGGATGGAGAGTCCCTGGAGAGCTGAGACTCTCATGCACATCACTGGATCGAGAGGGGGCTTAGGTAAGTATTAGGGGGGCTGAGGGGGCTGCTGCACACAGAAGGTTCTAAAGTTCTTAAGGTTCTAAACTTATGAAAATTTTCATAAGACAGAATACAACCTCTAGCAATGATGTAATGTATTATATTCCTTTGTTTCCAAGCATTCGCGGTCTTGGTCACTCTATTTTTTACGGATGAATTTTGTACCAATTAAAGAAAATTGCTCGTTCTGATATCATACAAGAAAAATTTCCGTGCTTGTTCCTTTGGATAATTTCGCATGAACTATCGTGATTGGTTCTCAAAAGCCGTGTACTAACGATCAGATTATTGGACGATTGCTCTGAAAGCAGTATTTTTATGCATTAGGCACAGTGTCCATTCCCTATTCAGTTTCTGTTCACTGTCTGGCCTCAATCAGAGGCTACAGCTATTGGTTCACAGACCTGGTGAAGCAGACCGAGTGTGATCTCACTACTACAGTTGCAAGAAAAAGTATGTGAACCCCTTGGGATTACGTGGAGTTTTGCATGAATTGGGCATAAAATGTGCTCTGAACGTCATCTAAGTCACAACAATAGAAGAACACAGTCTGCTGAACATAATACTACACAAACATTAGATGTTGCCATGGTTTAATTGCACATAACATGTAAACATTCACAATGCAGGGAGGAAAAAGTATGTGAGGCCCTAGCTTAATGACTTCTCCCAGAGCTAATTGGAGCCAGGAGTGAGCCAACCTTGACTCCAATCAGTGTGATGATATTGGATGTGTTTGCTGACAGCTGTTCTGCCCTTAAAAAACACACACCTGTTTTGGATTTACTGGTTTCAAGAAGCACTGTCTGATGTGAACCATGCCTTGCAGAAAAGAGCTCTCAGAAGACCTACGATCAAGAATTGTTGACTTGCATGAAGCTGGAAAGGGTTACAAAAGTATCTCCAAATGCCTTGATGTTCATGTGTCCACGGTAAGACAGACTGTCTACAAATGGAGAAAGTTTAGCACTGTTGCTACTCTCCCTAGGCGTCGTCGTCCTGTAAAATTGACTGCAAGAACACAGAGCAGAATGCTGCATGAGGTAAAGAAGAATCCCAGAGTGTCAGCTAAAGACCTACAGAAATCTCTGGCACATGCTAACATTTTTGTTGACACATCTACAATAAGGAAAACATTAAACAAGAATGGAGTACATGGGAGGACACCACGAAGGAAGCCATTGCTGTCCAAAAAGAATATTGCAGTACGTTTGAAGTTTGCAAAAGAGCACCTGGATGTTCCACAGCACTACTGGCGAAATATACTGTGGACAGATGAAACCAAGATTGAGTTGTTTGGGAAGAACACACAACACTATGTGTGGAGAAAAAAAGGCACAGCACACCAACATCAAAACCTCATCCCCACTGTAAAACATGGCGGAGGGAGCATCATGGTTTGGGGCTGCTTTGCTGCCTCAGGGCCTGGACGGATTGTTGTCATTGATGGGAAAATGAATTCCAGAGTTTATCAAGACATTTTGCAGGAAAACGTAACGACCATCTGTCCGCCAACTGAAGCTCCGCAGAGGATGAGTGATGCAACAGGACAATGACCCAAAGCATACAAGTAATTCAACAAAACAATGGCTGCAACAGCACAGAATACGCCTTCTGGAGTGGTCCAGTCAGAGTCCTGACCTCAACCCGATTGAAATGCTGTGGCATGACCTTAAGAGAGCGATTCACACAAGACATCCCAAGAATGTTGCTACACTGAAAAGGAGTGGTCCAAAATTACTCCAGATCGTTGTGCAGTCTGATCTGCAACTACAGGAAACGTTTGGTTGAGGTTATTGCTGCCAAAGGAGGGTCAACCAGTTATTAAGTCCAAAGGTTCACATACTTTTTTTCCTCCCTGCACTGTGAATGTTTACTTGTTATGTGCAATTAAACCATGGCAACATTTAATGTTTGTGTAGTATTATGTTCAGCAGACTGTGTTCTTCTATTGTTGTGACTTAGATGACGTTCAGAGCACATTTTATGCCCAATTCATGCAAAACTCCATGTAATCCCAAGGGGTTCACATACTTTTTCTTGCAACTGTAGCTAGGAGGCTTAACCAACTTTTCTGTTTGATTTTGTTTTGGACTATACTATTATGCCTGTGTGGGAACCTTTTGTTTTGGCTCCTGTTTTGTTGCAACGCTGACCAATAAACACAGGCAGGAAGCATTTAAACCTACTTGATGCTTAGATTACCTCTCTGCGAGCTCTCCACTTAAAGTACAACTATAGGCAAAACCTTGTTTTCACTTCGGATAGAGTAAGGGTGAGTTTGCCATCTTTGTTCCATCAGGGAGATTTACCTTCACTTCCTGTCCCATAGCCGAAACCGGAAGTGAGGGGAATTCCATGCTAATTAAGGGAATCTCTTGGGAACAACTAGGTCACCAGAACTCATGTCCCTATTGGAAGATTTCCCTTCCATTACTTTCCTGGGGAAAACCCAAAATTTTTTAATTTTTATTTTTTTTTCACTTTCATTTTCAATGAAAATGGTAAACAGGAGAAATAGAGAGGATGAATCTCCCTAATGGGGACACAGGCAACAATAAAAGCTGACAGGTGTTATAATCCAAATCCCCTCTATACAAAACAAAAAAAATGTTTTGCCTTTAGTTATACTTTGGAATCCACAAAGACAATAGCATAACGTCTATCTTAAGAAATATGTGCATCTACATTTGGTTGCTGACAAAATATGTAATCAGGATTATTCAACCATCGCTGACATCGGGCCTTGTACCACAATCATGACATCACATATAAACTGTAATATTATGGAACCTGTTGCCATGTCTGGACATACTAATGCCCATAAGAAATGTCAGTTACCAAAAGCCTAAGCAATGTGACAATATTCCTTGACCTGCTTTTCCATAAGGGTCATTATAGGGTTGTTTGATCAGAAAACCAGCTACTGGAGAACAATGTTACCAGGGTTACATTTGGATTCCAAGTCTGGATTTTCAATATGGCAAAAACCCATGAAATAGATATTTTGATTGATGTGGGTCAAAGGTCTCAAGTGACTGATGGGGCTCAGAGGCCTGAAGACAAAGCAGTCTCTTCATGAAAATAGAACCCCTTCAACTTAAAAGGTCCAAAAAATGATGAGGGCAAGGCCTGGCCTTATTATTGTCCCACAAATGCCAGCACTGCACTTCTTTGTTCACCCCCATCCCTCCTTTTTTATTTTTATTTTTTTCCCATTTTATTTTCCTGCTTCCTTTCCTTTTCATAATTTTTACATTACCCATCCTCTTCTACTATAGGCTAAAAATAAAGGTATCCTACCCGTACTTGGACCACGGCCTCAATTAGGGCAGTATAGTGACATAGCGACTGTTTCTTTTGGTCTAAACTGCTAGTAGTTGGGGTACTCTCTACATTGCAGTGTTCATCATTTGGTATGGCCTGGCATTTTCAAATTGTATTGCCCTGCTTGTTTTTTGTATGTGTCCTATACTTTGTACTCAAACTTTGTTACATCTGTACATGACCTTGTTACCTATGGTGTTTTCCTTTATTGTATTTTACGAGACATTACTGCTTTTCCTTTTTGAAAGCAGGTTATTGGGATGCTTTCTTTCTAAATAAAAAATTTGAAAGGAAAAAAAGTCCAACTGAATGTCAATCTTAATAGAAAACACATATGAGATTTTAATTCCAGTCACTCATCCTGGATTTTACTCAATTGCTATCTTTTATTTTCCTGTCTCATTTTCTCTACTCTCTCTTTGTCTATCCACCTCATCTTTTTTATGTTGGTTTTCTATGTGCTGTCTACTTATGGCATAATAACTACCCTCAAAAAATGTCAAAATATTTTATATCATGGTCAGTAGAGATATCGCATTGTTCATGCCTAAAAATATTTTAAACATTCAATCTAGCTTTGGCATTCCTTATAACAGAAAGTTGTAGTGAAATAGACTAGAAAGAAAGGTCATTCTCAAAAACATATTATATAACAGTTTTGATTTGTTCCACTGGGAATACTGTTAGCAGTGCAGAGACCAGCAGATGAGAACCACTGCTTTATGTTATTCTACTTAGTATCTGGGATCCTACAGTCTTCAATGACAGATTAAAAGCTGTTTACCTGTGTTGCAAGAAGTCCAGTGTCCAGTAGCGTAGGCAGTAGTAGAGGACCAGTGTCCAGTAGTGTAGGCAGTAGCAGGGTGATAGAGGCCCTGTGTCCAGTAGTTCAGGCAGTAGTAGGAGTTCTGTCTCCAGTGAAGAAACAGCACAGATATAAGCAACGTGCGCAGCTAGGTTTGGAGTGCACTTAGACTGGGATGTTTTGTAACACAAGGCTGGGAGGGATTACACATTGGGATACACATTCCAGTGAGACTATTTTTTTGGATGAACTTCATTATCCTTTAGTTACATAAACTCTGCCCAACCAATCTGTGTTAGAACTGATTTATGTAACATACAAAGGTTTTTCCTGGCAGAAAAAGTTATGTCAACAACAGCAACATAGAAATAAATACAGAAAAAAAAAAAAACATTAGGTAAAACGTACAAGGCAGTTATTAATTCAATTACTACTATATATTATGAGTTTTATATTTTTTATAATTTTTTCATTTTATTTTGTGTAATCATTTAGGCTCCATGCACACTAGTGTTTTTTTTTCTGCCCCTAAATAGCTAAATAGTGTTTTCCTATGTGTCCATGCACACTACTTTAAGCTATTAGCGTTTTTTGAGCTTCAGCTTCTGGGAGTAGAAAAAAAATTGTTTTTGCAGAATTTTTTTGGAGCATTTTTCCAGTAGGAAAAAAAAACACTAAATGCTCCTAAAATACTAGCTTTTTTCTTCATGTACTGTAAAAACGCCAATAAAATGCTAAAGCTCCTAAATGATCCTGAAAACTACTAAAAACACTATTACCAGCGTTTTTTATCCAGTATTTTTTCCAGCATTTTTTGAGCTTAAATAAAATGTTAGTGTGCATGAAGCCTGAACATGAGCTGATACATACCTCCTAAATTTAGAACAAGAGAAGGCGGGATTCTTAAACTATGAGAATCTACGAATTCACAGCTTTGCCTTTGCCATTCTTATTTACGATGTCAAAGCAGGTTTTGGCAAAGGCTTGGTGGTCTTCCAAAACATAACTATGCAAGGAAACTATAAGATGACATGGTTCTTAATTCTCAAGAAAATAGATACAATTTTTAAAGACTAATTTGAGAACCCATGTGTTAGTCCTTCCTGGCCCTCTGATAGACCAACTCCACAGTTGACCCATAATGTGCTGAATGTTGACACTGATTCATTCCCTGGTGAAAACACTAAATGCTCCTAAAACACTACTAATAGCTTTTTTTCTAGCTTTTTTTCTTCATGTACTTTAAAAAACACTTATAAAATGCTAAAGCTCCTAAGCGCTCCTGAACACTACTAAAACGCTGCTAAAAAACACTATTACCATTGTTTTTTAACCAGTATTTTTTCCAGCATTTTTTTTTAGCTTAAATAAAACACTAGTGTGCATGAAGCCTAAACATGAGCTGATACATACCTCCTAAATTCAGAACAAGAGAAGGAGGGAGCCTTAAACTATGTGAATCTATGAATTCACAGCTTTGCCTTTGCCATTCTTATTTATGGTGTCAAAGCAGGTTTTGGCAAAGGCTTGGTGGTCTTCCAAAACATAATTGTGCAAGCAAATTATAAGATGACATGGTTCTTAATTATCAAGAAAATAGATACAATTCTTAAAGACTAATTTGAGAGCCCATGTGTTTTTGACACATAGGGGTTTATTTACTAAAACTGGAGAGTCCAAAATCAGACTCCCTTCTGCATAGAAACCAATCAGCTTCTAACCTCAGCTTGTTCAATGAAGCTTTGGCAATGAAACCTGGAAGCTGATTGGTTTCTATGCAGAAGGGAGTCTGATTTTGGACTCTCCAGCTTTAGTAAATAAACCCCATAATGTGCCAGAAGTTGACACTGATTCATTCCCTGGTGACTTCCATAATCCCCATCCCTCATACCCTTATTATTGTCTTTTCCTATCTCATTCTTTCTCCTTTTCTGACTATTTTTTGCAACTTCTTTGCTAATCTACATCATCACACCACTGGTGTAACAACAGGGGTTGCAGAGGTCGCAGTTGCGACCTGGCCCCTGCTCCAAGGGGCCCTGGGGACTGCCTGTCAACTCCTTTTCTATAAAGCAGAAGCAGATTCCTCCAGTGTAGCACAATGTGCTGTTTTCCTTCTACTTTGCTGAAAGAGTTAGCATTCACCCCTTAGTCCTCCTGTCAAGAAGCCTTGTCCAATGAAATATATTATCTCCCTCTGCCCAGCCCCCTCCTCACATGCCCTGTGATCTCTTTTCTAGAACTGAACACAAAATGAAAAGAGAACAGGGAGAGTTGCCGCTGTTCAGAGGCTGGGAGCCGATCTCCCTGTGTCAGTCCAGTCAGTGCTCAGTGTAGAGCAGACAAGGAATCACCCTCGGCTGGCTCTGTAGTCTAAACCCTGTACAGGCAGGTAATATGTGTTCATGCGGTGATCAGGGGCGGACTGTCCATTCGAGAACTTGGGCACTGCCCTAGGGCCCGGGGTCAGTAGGGGGCCCCATGAAATGCCCCTGGTACCTTTTTATAGGCTTTTTTTGAGTGTGGGCAAGGACACAGGAGCCCCATGATCCCCTGTTGCCCGGGGGGCCCATGAGTTGTCAGTCCGCCCCTGGTGGCGATTGTTCACCAGACAACAGCATTAACTTTCACATCATGGATACTACAATGTTGCCTTGCTCTGGGAATGGTTAGGACACTGACTGCCTGTATTATCTGAGCATGTGTAATGGAAATGTCCTTCAGTGTGCAGTAAGCCAAACCTATATTTCTCTTTTTTTGCATACAGACAGCCTGAAGAAACCAGGAGTGGTTCACACCATGCCTGCAAAGGAATCTCATGGGAACGTACTGTATATTCCTGTGCAATTTACACTGCATGCAAAACATGCTCCATTTGTGATCTGCAATGGGTGTCAGTAAGAAGCCCAAACACAAGTTGCAAGGTGTTTGCCCACACCAAATCGCATGATACTTTTATTGCAGTGCATTTTAAAAAGTAGTGCATGCAATAATTATGGTGCGATGCAATTCCTGTCCATTCAAAATAAATGGGCTGAGATCGCACTGCGCAGAACTGCATGTGAATTGCACAGGAACTGCAGAGTGTCACTATGCATATCACATGCAGTTTCTGGTGTGAACCAACACTGAACTAATGGGAGTGAGAGTGAATGAAAACAGATGAAAAGAGAAAACGAGAGAGATGGGGGAGAGAAAAACGGAAATAAAGAATGAGATAGAAGTAAAGTTTGAGAATGTAAGAGACAGAGACAACAAGAGAGAAGGAGGAGAGAGACAGAGACGGCAAGAGAGGAGGAGGAGAGAGACAGAGACGGCAAGAGAGGAGGAGGAGAGAGACAGAGATGGCAAGAGAGGAGGAGGAGAGAGACAGCACGGCAAGAGAGGAGGAGGAGAGAGAGACGAGACGGCAAGAGGGAGGAGGAGAGAGACGGCAGCAAGAGAGGAGGAGGAGAGAGACGAGACAGCAAGAGAGGAGGAGGAGACGGAGAGAGAGAGAGACAGCAAGAGAGGAGGAGAGAGACAGAGACAGCAAGAGAGGAGGAGGAGAGGAGAGAGAGACAGACAGAGACAGCAAGAGAGGAGGAGAGAGACAGAGACAGCAAGAGAGAAGGAGGAGAGAGACAGAGACAGCAAGAGAGAAGGAGGAGAGAGACAGAGACAGAAGAGGAGGAGAGAGAGACAGAGAGAGGAGAGAGACAGAGACAGCAAGAGAGGAGGAGAGAGAGAGACCGAGACAGCAAGAGAGGAGGAGGAGAGAGAGATCGAGACAGCAAGAGAGGAGGAGGAGAGAGACAGAGAGCAAGAGAGGAGGAGGAGAGAGAAGAAGAAGGAAAGAGAGAGAAGAAAAGGAGAGGGGAAGAGACTAGGAGAGGAGAAGACAGAGAGTTTAATGATTTCACTGGGGGGATGGAAATAAAAGGTTGGAATATATTCTTGCAAGCATTTTTACATTCCACACTGGGGTCAGCTTACAAGTATTCAAAATAATTGGAGAGGTATATTTAAATGTGGACAGCTTCTCCAAAATCTTTTGAATTATCCTCTCAATATGTAAATAAAGATCTGAAATAACTTTGAGTATGTTAGTGCGCGGTCAAAGCGGCAGGTGGAAGCAGCAGGTGGTAGTGGGGGGGGGGGGGCGCCAGCTCAACTTTTGCATTGAGGCCCACAAGCTTCAAGGTATGCCTCTGCATCACACGTAACCGACTTCACCATTGACCTCACTTCATGGGCTCACATTTATTGGTCCAATTAGATTGAGCGAAGTACTGGTCCTACTTCATGCCATGGGACTGGTTTCCTCTCACTGGTTCACTTTTCTTGAGCACCAAATAGGCTTTTGCTCTTCACAGCTGTGATTGTTTAACCTACACATTCATGTACTAACATTATTTGTAAACCTGAGTTATAATGATTGGGAGGGATTGCATGTCTCATTTCTTACGTGACGTACTGCTCAAGCTAATATGTTTGACACATATTTTTACATTTCTGCAACTTTGCAAACCTTTTACAAAAATATTTTGAAACAGAACATGGGAAAATGGGACCTTGGTGTGAGATGAAATGTGGTGTATGTATTGAAAAAATGGCTTGGCTACATTGCATTGAATATTGGGCATCGTTTGGGCACATACGTACATAAACATCAAGACAAAACGTAATTTAAAAAGAAAATCAGCTCTGCACATTTCTGTACATAATACATTATTATTATTATATTACATTTTTAATATTTTACATATGTAAGGACATAGAACTACCACTTTGGCCAAGTCTACTTTAAATAAGAACTTCACTAAAATTGTTGGGCACTATTTAGCAACCAGAATCTGTTACAAAAAACACATTGGTAAGGGGTATGTAATGTGTGGTGTGGCAATTTAATTCCTGGAATGCCTCAGCGTACCACTATGGTGGGGAGTCACACAGCCATTTGCACTCGAGCGTGTTCTGACATGTTTTAAACTTGCATTTGCCAGGGTCATAGACCAGTTGACTTAGTCTTTAGGGAGTAGTAGAAGAAATTAGGAGAATCTGGAGCAGTGGATTAATATCAAATTTTGCGTGAAAATTGGTAAAAGTGCGAGTGAAACTTTAACTGTGCGTTAACAGGCTTATGGTGAACGTTCCAAGA